CATGTCTATGAGTAAAGAAATGTCAATATTAAAATTACTGAATTGTCTATTTATTTAACACCAAATTTACAGAATAACAAATGAGGGACTAAATTGAGCAAAAACATAAAATTCTGAACTAAATTGAGCGAAACACAAAAGTCTGGGACGATATTAGGTCACCAAAGTCGTTTAGGACAAAATTGAGAAAAACCACTATAATCAAGGACGATTTTGGGTATTAACTCCTTTTTTTTTTTCTTTCTTTCTCTTTTTCTTTCACGTAGCGTATGCATTACATGACAAAAATATATATTTTCGAGAGTACAATAATATTTTATTTTAAATGAGAAATAACACTTTTCATTTGTGAATTATAGGAAAATATTATTTTTCATCCCCTAATTGTCTGTAAAGTGATTTTTTAACAAACTTTGATAGAACTCAAAGACGAAAAAATATAACAAAAAGTGATAATAAATATAATTGAGGATCAAAAAGTGTTTTCTCTTATAATTTAAGGATGAAAAGTATCATTTTATCCTTTTTTTCTCACAACAACATAAATGTCGAGAAAACAAATAAAGAAAAGTGAAAGAAGCTAAGTGAAATTAATCATGACCGTTGGCGTATCACATTGTTCTCTGCTTGTAATTGACATGAATTTGTCTTTTACCCTACTAATGTAAATTACGTGACCAACGCATATATTTTCTGAAACATCGTTAATATTTTCTTAATAATAATTCATAAAAAAAGAAGGGAGAAAAAGTGAAATTAATCAGGATTGTTGACTCTTGTGATTAAAAGGGATCCGTGTACTCTTTGCACACGGAATTAATCTGGAAAATAAAAAATTAAAATTCATTAGTAAGTGGCCCTAACTAAAATCTTAGAGTCAAAATTACTTTAAACAGACAATATAAGTACAGGGGCCTCACATGATTGAATTTTCATAGCCACAATCAATAAGGCCACATGAACTGAATTGACAGGTAGGTTTTAGTACCCACAAAACATGCCTACCTTCTACACTTATATTAAATAGGATGCCATGACTTTTTAACTCCTCATCTCCATAGAGGTTGTGTCAAGTACTCAATTGGATAGCCGGATTGGGTATCTGAGTCTCTTATATTTAAATAAATGTTTAAGTGTATGTATCATTTTTATGCAATTCTATTTATGTTGTTGGTTTTATTAGGTACGATTGGTGGTGTTGTTAGATTCGATTGATAGTGGACTGATATTTCTTGAATGGTAACATTGAGTTACGTTTGAAGAATTAATAGATAGACGGTCTTTCTAAAAATTAGAGTGCATTTACTAATATAACAGAAACTTCAGTTAGATAAAAGAAATGGAAAATAAGAGAAAGAAAATAGAGAATAAAGTCTTCCTTTCTATAATTTTTTTTTTTTATTTGTAAAAAATAAAAAATTTCTCTAATTAATAAACACATTCTAAATACCTATCCAACTATCATCGTCATGTCATGTGTTCTTTACTGATGGGATAACATATATAGAGAAATAAGAAGTGAACCATCTACTATCACTAATGTTGTGTTACAATGACCCTATTTGGCGATTGACGGTTAGCAAATTCTGTTAGCGATTTTGACTAACGAATTGTTTTAGCAGTTTATAGATAGATGTTTGGTAAAATTAGTTGTTTATGATTAGCGGTTAACATGTCAAAAGACGTATATGGTTATAAAAATAATTCATTAATTATATAATAATTTTTTATTATAAAAAATTAAATAACATAAATATGTAATCAAAAAATAAAAATAATTGTTAATAATTAATTATATAATATTTTATCAAATTATATTTTAAATAATAATTTATTATTAATATTTATAATTTTTATATAATATAATAAAAAAAGTTATTAAAAAAATTGGAGCACAAGACTCCTTAAAAGGGAGCCTCATGGTTCATGCTCACTTTGGGAGGTGCATTACGGAAACAAAATCATTTTTTTGGCAAATCGCCAATGCCAAAAGCTGCAAATTTCAGGGTGTGTTTGGTTCGCGCATGAAAATTGGAATCGGAATGGGTATCAAATACTTGGTAATAGTAATGGATTTTGGTGAAAGTATTTTACATGTTTGGTAGTATGGTGGAATGAGAATGATTAGGCTAAGGATGAAATATGGGATGGAACCCTTATAAAATAAGGAAATGGGTTTTTCCATTAATATGGTATTCCAAACCTATAGTAGTGCTTTAAAAACCAGTCAACTAAACAATAACAATCACTTTCATACCCATACCTGAGTGCTAAACCTGCCAACCAAATACACCCTCAGTGTTTGTGAAGTTTTTAGAGCATCTATTGTTGATCTCCAGTACAGTTATTGAGGGGTTTTTGTAAGTGTGATTAGAAAAGAGAAAAAAATGTGAGTGAAAATGAAAAAGAAAAGAAAAAAAAGTGGACATTAAAAAAAAAGTAAAAAAAAAAAAAAAATAGTGACCGCCAGCTGGCGGCCACTCGGACGGGCCTGTTATGGGCGCAAGGTGCGCGCCAAAAACCCCTCCCTTCCTTTTTTTTTTTTTTTTAAAAAAAAAAAAAAACTAACATTATTTTGGGTCTTTGTAGGTCATTTTTTTTTTTCAATTAATTCATCCCCCACATCAACTATTATCTTGAACAAAAGCTATTTGATCTGACATTCTCCCCAAAATAAGTTATGATAATGTTGCTCTTAGCGTTTTGGTTTTGTGAAACCGGTAAAGTGATCAAATTCGTCAAAGTCTTATCAAAATGTCATTTATCAAACAAGTTCAATATCAAAAACATAAAAATAAAATAAAAGCTCGCATGGACAGCTCAGTTGAGTTACTATGGTTTACATCCTCCCAGATGCTGTCGGGTTGGGGTGGCATAATTGACAGCTTCAAACCAAGAAGAGTTGAACTTGTAATCTTATGATAATCCACTTTGATGTGATAAATACGATTTGGTCTACAGATACGTACAATTTGCTAGGTCAGACCGTAGTGGGTTCTTTAATAACTGGCTAGTTAGTTCAAGTCTTAGGCTCGGGGTATGACATAAGGCCAGAGGTCCCCGAGCTAAATACTATTGGGTAGAGATATCACTAAAAAGTCTCTCCTCAAGCATTTAATGCGGTATTTATAAGAGGCCGAAGGGAACACATGACGATCCCCTGGCATTTGTGACACGTGGAGTCCATGCACACAAAAAGGTCAAAGGCTTCACTGATCCCTCCATGTGTGCCAAGATTCCTGGCTTCCTCGTTCTTATAGCCACCAGGTCGGGCTAAAGGCTCCAAGTAGAGAGGGTCGGGTAATTCGTCACAACATAAGATGGTCGGGGTGAACCAAAAGACAAGTCTTGCTGCTAATCCAGTCTTGCCTAGTCGTACATAGAAGGTCAGGGTGGCGGGCTCTGAGGTCGATCCTGCTCGGGAATGATCCCTCTCGTTGAGCCGTCCGGATATAGAGTAGGTGTGCAGTATGTAAAGGGGAGGTATATCCAAGAAATATTCTCTATCCACTTAATTGCCCAACCAACTTCGTTGGGATGTCCAGAACCTCAAATCTTCCGATTAGCATTGGACAAGCCTGATCTACAGTTATATTTAGGAAAATATTACTACTTACAAATTTTACTCTCAACTTTTACTCAATCTCTCAACATATTGATGTTGACATTTTCTATGAGACTTATAAAATAAAGATAATTTATTATTTTTTGTCACATCGAAAAATAAAAGTAAGAAAATAAGAATAGGGAATCAATATATTAGAACTCCTATATTTAATTAACCTCGTACCAACATCAATGTATTACACTGTTGAAAACAAAACAAGATATTGCTAGGCATCGACTTACAAGGTAACTTCCTCCATTAACTATTATTAATTATCGCAGTAAATACACAATTACTAGTTAACATATATTTTTTTAAAATTCGAATTCAACATATAAAATTACAGATACCATAATTCAAAAATAAAAAAGCTAAAGCCAAAAAAACAATAAACACACAATTACATGTCAACATATATTTAAAAACTTCAAATTCAGCATATATATGAAGTGATCGATACCATAAATTAGAAATAAAAATACTGAAATTAAAAAATAAAATAAATACACAATTACTTGTTACCAGCCTATTAGCCTTTTGATTTGATGTATGTCAGCACAACCTAGGTTGGTTATTTATCTGTGGTCGTTTCTCATTAGAGTCACAAAATGAGTTTCATCTAGAACACACTTTTGAGTAATGACTAAGAGCTTTCCCATTAAAAAAAAAAAGACCTAATTTAGTGTATATATGAATTGGCCATTACCGTAATTCAGAAAGAAAAAAATAAATAAAACATATATTGGCCCTGTTTGATAAAATTGTTAGCAATTTTGACTTATTTGACCACCATTATCTGTTTGACTTGGTTAATCAGATAATATGAGTGTTTGATTAATTAGTTTTTTGTAACAACTTATTGCTCCAAAATGCTAAAATTCAAAAAGCTTCTCGAGGTAGCTTTTACAATCAGCTTTTTAAAAAAAGTCATTTTTGCATGTAATTAGCTATCAACTAATTTACCAAACATTTTTCTATAATCAGCTAATGATATCAACTAGTCAAACTCACTAACTCAATCAGCTAACCGTTATTTACCAAACACCTCCATTAAAAAACTTCTTATTCAATAATCGATATCATAATTTAGAATTAAAATACTAAGCCCGCATGGACATCTTAACTGGTCATAGAGGTGAAAGTTGAAAAGAATGACCAGGATCGATGCTCCTTGTGCGCAGTGAGCAAAGGTCTAGCCTCTGTGGTTCATGTTCAGTTAAATTACCATGATTTATATCCTCCCAAATACTTTGTCGGGTTGGAATGTGGGAGTCATTAGGGTTGGGGTTCAACCTTTTGGAAAGAAAGAAGAATTAAAATACTAAAACCAAAATACAAAACGAAGAAGTTGATAGATCTAAACACAATATTGTATTACACCGTAACGGATGGAAAAAAAAAAAAAAAAAAAATCTATACGTTAAACAAAACATGAATAAATATGTCTTTACATTGTTTTTAAGGTGGGTTTAAGTTTCAACCTAAGTTTGAGATATTTGTTACAAAGATAATACATTAGGATAGAGGTGATGATTACATTTGGGAAATGGAATACATTAATTAATATACCTAAAATATCTCTAAGAAAAAAAAAAAAAAATCTCTAAGGAAACCATTTGTAAGAGTTATGGCATTTGGTACACAACTTGCCACTAGGGGACCACCCCAATTGCCAACACAAACACACCGATTGATTCATTACGGCGGCCGCCGCCGCATGCGGTGGCGCCGCAACCGACTCCGCGGAGTTGGAAGAGGAGGGCGTCTCCGCCCTCGGACGCGCCGCCGTCGTCGATAGCCCAATGGATAAATTTAAACCAAGATTCAGCGCTGTTTGATCGTCCTTTTGTTGTTGTTGTTCAGATTCCTCCGTTGTCGTGCCGCTGTTGCATTTAGTGTCTTCCTGAGATAAACTCAATGTAGCTTTCTCGTTCGATGATTTCGCCGGCGCCGCTGCGTTTCTGAAGTCCAGGCAGATATCCTTCGCCGTGGAACCGCCGCCTCCGCCGCTGCAGGCGGCGGCGGCGGAGTTAATCGGCCGGTGGGTTTGTGGGTCGAGGCCGCGGCTGAGAAGCTTGCGCTTAATGTGAGTGTTCCAGTAATTCTTGATTTCATTATCGGTTCTTCCGGGCAACCTTGCAGCTATCAAGGACCATCTGGAAAAAAAAAACACAAGATTCAAGCATAATTTTAGCAGAAATTAAGAATCTTGTCTTCTGAGAAATTAACAATTAATGGAATCCGATGAAAGAATGAAACACATTAAAACAGAACAGTAGAGAAGACAGAGCAGATCACAAAATTCAAAACTTTTGAAACTGCCACCAATAAACTAATGGCTATTTTCTTGATTTTAATTTTAACCACTTTGTTTCTGGAACATCTGGGTTTCTAGATCCTTTTAAGTGGTCCCAAATTTCAAAATTTTTTGACTTTTATTTTATACACAAAACCATATTTCTTCTCCTCCTCCCAAAATTCCCAGAAATTAAACCCTTTTTTTTATAAGAAAAGAGAAAAAGATCAGTGAATATATATACTTGTTTCCCAGAAGACTATGCAGCTTGATGATAAGATCATCTTCTTCTTCTGTAAAGTTCCCTCTTTTCAGGTCTGGCCTCAGGTAGTTTATCCACCTCAATCTGCAACTCTTCCCACATCTAAGCAATCCTAAATAAACATCCCAGAAAAAAAAATAAAAACAAAAAGATCAATCATCGTACATATATATAGAGACAAAAACATGGGAAAAGAAATGAAACCCAGAAAAGATGAGAGGAAAAACCTGCGGCTTTAGGGAGGGATCGCCAGCAACCTTCGCCATGGGAGCGGATGTAGTTGATGAGGCGTTGGTCTTCTTCTTTGGTCCAGGCGCCTTTGTTGGTGTGAGCTTTCTCACAGCAAGGAGAACGTCCCATGATGTTTTTTTTTATTGTTTTTTTGATCTTTTCTTGTGTTTAATTTCCTCGGATCGGAGGAGTTGGATAAGCAGTTCTGGAAATCCTTTCTTCTCTTCTTCTTGATAAGACTGACACTGATGTATATATGTGATGAATGAGGGAGAGGGAGGGGGTGGATGTAAAGAAGAGTGGGAATATATATATATATATATATATATATATATATATATATATTTCTTTTTTATTCTTTTTTTTTGTGTATCCAGGTTTTTACAGTAGGACTAATCCTCTAGCTGGATTGTAGTCCCCTCTTTTGAGTGGGACAGCTGGTCTGGAGATTTCTGAATTGTAGTTACCTCTTTTGGGTGAGACAGCTGGCTTGGAGATTTAAGACTATTCTATATCAATAGTCATTCTACTCAATCACAGCTCAGGTTATATATATATATATAGAGAGAGAAATATGTGTATATGTTAATTGTGTATGTTATGGAGGTGGGGCCAGTTGGGGGTGGGGTAGGGGGTGATTGAATGTTGTGGGGATGATGGAGAGGCCAATAGTTTGGAAGTGTTGGAAACATGAGGGGTGGGGGTGGTGGGGGAGGGGTGGTGGGGTGTAAAATATTTGACCAAAGTTGGTAGGGAAAGGGGAGAGTAGTTAACAGATAGGGGGGTGGATTTGGTAGGTAGGTTTACTTTTATTGTTATTATTATTTAATATTTTAATATTATTATTGTACAATGAGTTGGCCTTGTGGATTTCCATCTCTTTGGGGTCCACTCACTGTCAATTCCCTCTCACAAAAAATCATGAATTGCATTCACATTTCACACCAATTTGAGAGATATCAAGCGGCGAGTCATCGCTGATTCACACAAAAAATACTGTCCTTATCTTTTTATCTCCACATTATAATTCTTTGATGCCAATACTACTTGGTCAAATTGGCATTCTAGATTCTTTTGTTTGAGTTAGGGGTATTTGGTAAATAGATGTTAATTGATTGGGTTAGTAGATTTGATTAATTGATAGCATTAGCTTGTAAAAAAATGTTTGGTAAATTAGTTGTTAGCTAATAGCTAATTACATGCAAAATGATTTTGATGTGAGCTTAATTATATTGTACATGTTTCTAGTGTTAGTTTGAATATATTTGTGGGCCTAAGTTCATTAAATTGATACTTTAATTGCATATCCCTTGTTTTATCATTTAGATATGATTTACACTTGTTTTAAATATTTTATGGTGTTTGTTAGTGTTTTGGAACCATTCTAGATCAATTGCAAAGGCAATGGGAAGTGCTAAGACAAGTTCGGGTTCAAAAAATAGTTGTTGTTCGAGTTCAGGAGAACTCGACGCGTCGAGAAGGCTGGTCGAGAGGTGCTGAAAGTCGACGTCAAAGTCGACGAGTCGAGTCGAGGACTCGATTCGTCAATTAATTCTAGTAGGGTCCGGAAGGTTAAGAGCAGAGACTCGACGCGTTGAGATATTCCAGTAAGGTTCGAGACGTTGGGCAGTGAAGACTCGACACGTCGAGAATCCTGAGCTGATTTTTGGAAGCTTGTGCTGAAATTTCCTAATTTGCTATTATTTGAGATCCCGCTATAAAATCTCGTCTTCCTCAACCCTAGAAGATTCATGCTGTGTTTTGGAGACAAGAAAGAGGAGAATTAAGAGCTACAAATTGCCTTGGGAAAAAAAGAAGAAAGTTAGAGAGATTTGGGAGAATCACTTGGTCTGATCTATTCTTTTTACTCTCTTTGATGGCTTGTAAACTCTTTATTTTATTGCTATGAATTCCATATTAGCCATGTGTGGCTAATCTACCTTAGAGATTCTTGGGTAAAAGTGTTTATGAACCTATGTGCCTGTATTTTCAGATTCTTTAATATATTGATATTTCGGTTTTATGCTTGTGTTGCAATTGTGATTTACTTTGTTGATGCTTGTAATTAGTGGTCATAATTACTTGTTTCACAGCTATCTTTATGTCTTAACGGGAGTTAGGGTATAATTGAGAGCACCCACAATTGCACTTAACTGTTGCACCTTGGGAGAAGGCACATATGTTAGGGAATTAATTCTTAGTTATTGCACATCGGGAGATAGTAGTAGTTAAGAGTTTATTATGAATGCTTATTCTTATATCGTTAAGTGTTTATATCACGGGAGTGAATATTCACTTAGGTTAGAGATTACGTGAATAACTTTTTCCCCTGTTTGCATTCTCACACTTGTTTAAACCCAGATTTGATATTGCATATTAGATTGGCACTACGCGATTAAATACTTGAATCCCAATAATCTCATTCTCTCTCTATTGTTTTCACAAACCTGCTACTTTACTTTATTAGTTTTATGATTAATCAACCATCCATGATTTTCGTTAGGATTAGTTTCACAAGAATAATTTAGTACCTAGTGCTTGATACACCGCCCCACTTCCATGTGAATCGATAACCCGATACTCGGGGAAATTATTTGTTTGAGAAATATACTGCAACCAGACTTTCTCAAAAAACTTATCGAAAAAGATGTTTTGAGCAGTTTTTTTGAATTTTTAGCTTTTTGAAGCAATAAACTATTACAAAAAGCTAATTAATCAAACACTAATATTGATTATTTAACCAAGTCAAACATCTAATACTGGTCAAATAAATCAAAATTAACTGATAAGCTAACTATGTTACCTTTCAAGTTTTAAGTGTTACGGGACCAAATTGACACATTTGAGTTCTTTTTTTCTTTTTAAGTTGGAATTTAAGTTTTGGGTCTCACATGATTTGAATTGAATATTTGTTGAATTAATAATACTTGAGTTTGATTGTTTGAATTTGATGACCAATGGGTATTATTATTAGGTTTGATGGCAGTATTGCGTTTTGGAAAACGTTATAATTTTGGGGTTCAACTTAAGAAGAAAATATGTTAAGTGTGTTGTTTTTCTATTAAATGTTGTAAATAAGTCAAATTAAAGTTGTTGTAAACTAATGCTCAAAAGCAATATAGAGAAGAAGAGAAAGATTTCATTCGTTCAACATTTCTACATATTACACCAGTATATATAATATACATTTGTAACAGAAGATAATAATGATAGACATAAATTTGACCATTACAACTGTTACACAATCAAGCCAAACCGGAGACGAAGGGTGACAGAATGTACAAATTAGGGCAACAAAATTTACTATACATACATGCAAGTCGACATCAAAATTCTCTAACACGACAACATACGTCAAACGTTATTCAACATCAAATGCTTATTGTGTGACAAAAAAATTAACTAATAAAAACCGCCCACCACAGAATGTTGGTGGAGATCGATATATGGAAGATCCCGGGACATATATATATAACTCGTTACCTATAGCGTGGATTGTGGCATATTGTTGTTATGGGATCCGGACTGAACGGCTAACTGAACCAACCCTGCCCGAACTCGCCTCGTTGTTCTTTAGCGAGAGGTTGAAATTTTGCTCTTCGACAAGGTCCCTATTTTTGCTCGTTCGTCGGTGCTTGGAATGTTGTTGTGGCACCGGTTGTTGCCTCTGTAGCTGATACATCGCTTGTAGCCTTCCGAGTTCCCGCTCCAACATTTCTTGTTCCATGCGTTTTATGAGATACTCGTGGGATAGGCTCTCCAACCGCTGCCTCAGGGCTCGATTTTCCATGCTCAATATGAGGTTTTGCTGGTCAAGAAACTCGAGCTCGGATGACATAGCAGATTCTCCTACCTGTGCTTGCCAAGAATTGCGAAAACAATGACTTTGGATTGAATTTGTCATGCTTAGTTCAGCAAATTCAAGCATGAAAATCAAACAATGAAGTGACGTTTACCTGCATAACTTGGACCGTCCTCTCAAGTTCAGCTATGTGTTGAAGTTTTCGAACTCGTGATCTATGTGAAGATTGCCTGGAATGGACATATTTAATGGTTTTAGATACGCCCGATATATTCTCAACTAGAAACATCGTAAGATACTTTGATACGAGTCCAAGAAAAGAAGCTTATACAAAAGAAAAAATTAATCTAATAATCCAATGTTGACTTGTATAGTTAAGGTTACTAGATTATGTTCATGTGATTCAACAACTAGATTAGAAGTCTCCCGCACAACCCAGCCAAGTTGGTCGGGCTGTTGACTTAGTAATCACAAGGTTACGAGTTCGGCTCCCGGTGGGAGCAACCTATTAGCCTTCTTGATTTGAGCCAATAAGCTATGGGCAACCTAGTCTGGTCCTTCTTGATTTGAGCCGATAAGCTATGGGCAACCTAGTCTGGTCCTTCTTGATTTGAGCCGATAAGCTATGGGCAACCTAGTCTGATCCTTCTTGATTTGAGCCGATAAGCTATGGGCAACCTAGTCTGGTTTACCTCCTTGTGGTCTTTTGCCGCCTCCTTGTGGTCTTTTGCCGGCTAGGGTCACAAGGCAGGATTTACCCAGTGCACACTCTTGGGCAGAGAGCAGTAATGGAAAGTGCAAGAACATATCACGCAAAGACACTTGAAAAGGCAACAATGAAATTGAACGAAATGCCTACTGTTTAGAACGTTTTGCCTCTGCTTTCGACGTAGAAGACTTCTGTTGTGGGCCGTTTGCTTTTCCAAAAGGGCTCTCTGGGTTTTGCATACTGGGTTCCTCTTTGTTATGCTTCTCACCGGACAACGGTCCCCCTCCATTAGGTTCATGTGAAGCCTGAAATGATAAACGTTAAATTTTTTGGAGCGTTTGTTCCTCTCGGGGGACAATTTAAAGCTCCCCTTCAGTGTCTTGACATCGATTAATAAAATATCGTTGCTATATGCAAGTTTAGCTTAATCAACGAACCTTATGAATCGTTTCATCTGAAGAGTTTGGAGCCGGATCACAGGAAACGTGGTTCAAATCATTAGAGTAAACTAACTTGGAGACATCAAAGGGAGCCCGAGCAGCTAAATCATTAAGATCCGGTTCCTCGTTTACGTTTAATTGCTCCACAGCTGCGCCTAAGTACGCATAGCTATCACTCGCTGAACGGCGATGACATTTATGCGCCACTGTCACTGATTCGCTCAAAAGATCCTCGAGCCAAAACGGCTCCTCGTCCATGAGAAGGCTGTCAGACAAACAACGCTGGTGGTGGCTTCCTGCTGCTACCTCGTCGGTCTTCTGCTTCCCTCTCGATGCCACGGGGAGTGGGTCAATGTAGGATGACGAATCAGTAACAAAGGGAGAAAAAGAGGCGGGTATCTTTCCATTTGTATATGCAAAAGTACTAAAGCCGGAAGACTTGTTAGAACTTTCCATTTCACCCTACAAACTGCACAAATTTGAGTTAATAAAAGCAAATATTCAAATCTAATCACATAACGTCTACTAAAGAAAACCATCTTCGAATAATGCATATAAACATAAAACATCATATCCATCACACAAAATCGGTGCTAAAACGTAACCATATTGGTACAATCTAACATGCATGTGTTTTTCACTGTAACGAATGAAACATACATCACAACGGGTAGAGAAGTACATAATCTATTGAAGAGCATTGTCTAGACTCTAGGAACACAAATAACATACACAAGTAATGTTAGAATTCAATGCTACAAGTCCTATGAATATGAATAGGAGAACACCTCATTCCTTTTCTATCATGATGAACATTGTATGTATAGTATTGGCCATCATGCCAAAATCCGAATCCTAATCAAATGCAAGCACTATAATCACCACATTCATTGATTTATGAGAAAGCACACAACCACTACTCGAATGTTGGCTCTAGGTGAAGCCGGACTCAAACCAAGAAAGCCAATAAACAGCTCCCACGGGAAAGAAAACTTAGAAATAACCAAGAAAGCCAATAGTTAGCTTTCATGGGGAATCAAACTTAGAATCTTGTGGTTATTGAACTGGGTTATAATCACCACATTCTTATAGATTCTTAGATAAAACAAATGGATCAATTTTCACAAGCCCTATAGTTTCTTGGGGGGATGGCATTGGCATCACAAATTATTCTGGACCCGGGTCAGGTCCAAATGTTCACAATTTATCTTTTAAAAATTCACAATTTGTACGTCGTTTAGGACCAGGGTTCAATCAAAATGAGAAGCCGATGGTGATTCTATTCAAGCCTATTCTCACATTTTTCCTCTTTCATCCATCTTTCTTGCACAATCGGATAAACACTCAAAAGGGAGAGTGAAATTTCACGAAATGGACAAGAATATGAATCCACATTCATACGAAAGATTGAAATCTAGCAATACCCAAACAGAGATTGTATTATAAAACATGCAAATTAAATATCTATCGATTAACACTCTTCACGTAGAAGACTGGCCGGGAGGATTTACCAGATAGAAACGCGGCGGCGAGGCGAGGGGTTGCGGGGCTTCCGGCGGAGATGGAGAAAGCCCCGCTTTTTTTTTTTTTATCTTCAATTTTGCATTTGCTGTCGATCTCTATCTCTCTCCCTTTCTCCATGTCTCTGTGTTTGAACTTTGAAGAAGAAGTGAGAAGAGATAGATGGAGATAGCGCAGTTTACGTAGGCAAATTAAGAAGGATCCCACACGTTTCCTTCTTTCCTATGTCAAATTTTATCTTTTTTTTTGTACCTTTAGAATGTTACATGGACAACACCTGAAAATTGACCACTTTTTAACCAACTTTAGTGCATCCCCATCTGTAATTTTTTAGGAGATTATGACTTATGTGGAGGGGAGAGACCTGCAAGAATGATTTTTTTTGTGGGACCCACTAGAAAAGAGACAAAGGAGAGGCGCAGTCGCGTGCGTGGCCTGCACAGACCGCGCCCAATCGGGCACGTGCAGTGCACGTACCCGTTATCGCTTCCGTTGCTCTGTTTTTTCTTTTTTCGCTTTAGACCTGCTTTTTAATTATTTTTCACGTTTTCATTCTTTATCTTCCCCTCTTTCTCATAATTGACACCTCCAAAAAAAAAAAAAAAAAAAAAAAAAAAACTACAATTGAGGATGCTTTATTTCACCTAAAATTGCATCATCATGTAACCTGTCACATCATTATCTGAACGTGCAATTTATTTAAATTTTAAATCTAATCGATAAAGGATTAGAACATAAGTAAATAAATCTAGATTATTCATTATGACAATTTAATATTTACATTAAGGTAATTGGTATAACAATAATTATGTGGTAAAGTGTGGGACGAAAGTGATTTGTCTAATGAGAATATACTAAATTTACTCAAAGCGTGCAAAGTACTATGCAAAGTTCAAAGAAAATTAGTTTGGTCATGTCAATAAAAAGCAAAATGAAATTGTTGATTTTCTTGGCAATGCATCTCTTCTTCACACGCATGGTTTGAGTCTTCTTGAGCTTTCCTTCCTATTTTGATAAGATTTTAATGGAGGATAGGATGGGGTGCCAAGGACTCAAGTTAAGAGTGGTTCCTGTAGTTTATTAGAATGACACGTCTTGGCTGGTCCAAAAAGAAATGTTCTTACTCTCACGAACTTAACTCAATGGTTCAATAAGCAGTATTTGAGAAAAGAAATCAGCGACACCAATGTGGAGATTCTGTCCAAAGTGAACAGATCTCTTGTGCACACTGATACCCTGTCTACTGAATCATTGAGTCACCGTTACATCTTCCCAAATGTTCTGTCAGGCCGGAGCAAGGAGGCCCTTGGCTGCATTTTATTAGATAAAAATCAATTTCGGAACCCCTTCATAGAATCGTATGGTTATGTCACTCCACTTCAAGATTCTAGACAATTGCATATTTTTCGAGTTGCATAAAACGAAGAAAATAATCATTCAACAGAAGCCAGAGTATCAAAGTTACAATTTTTAGCAATAAATACGAAAAAAGGAACCTGTACAACTTCAACCCTGATCATGAAATCCTGGATTACATCTAGAACTAAGTACCAACCAAGATTCGACGCTTTTGTGGGGTTGTTGGGAAGTTTGGGGTGGGGGGTGGTGGAGAGACTAATGCCAAGTTGCCAACAGAACAAACAAAGCCTAGTTTTTGGAGAAGAAAATGAATCGATTATTTTACACAGAAAGTCACCCCGCGAACAATCTTTGCTGTACTAGTGACTTACATGGTTGGTTGGGTGGATACGGATGATGATCTCACCAAACGCTAACCCTTCTTACCACTGTAAAGTATGCTGCGTAGACGGAAGGCCTCGCCTTGATCCCCATTTAACGCCCTCCTCTCCAGGAAGCAAGCCGTGAGTTGCCTGAGCAGCCTCTCGAGACAAGAATGCAAGCAATCACTCGCGTCTTTTACATTAGGGTTTTGCGATAAGATCACTGCGTTTACTGCATCTGCCACAATCTCTCGCTGAGAGTCTCCTAGGAGATATCCAACCGAGCACTTTAGTGGTTGCTCATATGCCAGCAGAGTAGCGCAATCCTACATAGAAAAGAAATACCGTGAATTAACCTCAAGAGAGCATTTATCCCGTAATAAGAAAATTTTAGAGCACACGGCTCCAAAGTAACGCATTCTCTATCTACCTTAACTAAGTCTTCGAATTCTGTAAACCTATTAAATTTGTGAAATTCACTTCTACCATGATTCACTGCCTCTTCAAGCTTCCCAACCTGTGCATGGAAATCAAACACTTTAGATTATTGTAGCAGCTCAACCGTAACTGAGTTGCATTCCTAAAAAAAATAGGAAACAAAGAAAACTAAATAGACTCTAAACATTTCCGTATAAACACCATAAAGTTTACTTGCAATCTGAAAATGGGCATAAGACACTCAGAAAATGACAATAGCACAAAAGGACATTACAGTGTATGGAAAAACATGTATAAAATCATAACATATGCAATCCAAAACACAATCAGATATTCTGCCATAGCAACAGTCCCAAGTCTTCAACTTTTTTATTTTTTATTTAATTAATTATTTATTTTGTTTTCGGAGGTGAGTGGGAGAAGAAAGAGACATATGGTTGCCATATTAATTATGCACCATCTAGCTCATTCCATTAAGGTCAACATACAGAAGTAAAATGAAGCTAGAGCTCAGGTATTGGACAAGAATGATCTCTATTTCTCGTGTCACAATATAAAATTAGGCTTTGAGTTGCGACTTGCGAGTCATGACCTTCTCCAACCTTCCGAAAGGGGTGACTCGACAACTCGTCACTGCCAAAACCAAATGCCAACTGCCTCGCACCCTAGCCTCCAGTCGAACTTCAATCTCCGACAACTCTTCGACCGTGTCACTCACCATTGCAGTGCCACTCTTCGATCTTTAACCTTAGCTCATGCGAGCTCTGGGTTCCTCTACTTTTTATTTTTATAAAGATTATAATTTTTTTACTTTCATAAAGCTATAGTGACTAAGTGTATATATAATATATTTATATAAACACTTCAACAACTAAAGTATTAAAATATTGATTCTAGAATTAACTTTAATTATCATTTAAATATTTCATTGTGATTTGTGCTACAAATCTACAATATTGATTATTGGATATTAATTGCATTAGATTTTACATTAAAACATTGTATAGTCATTTTGCATTACTAATTAAGTAATTGTAATTTTTTGAAGAAGTATCGCTTTGTTTTTGTAATGGTTGATCAACTTTAATAAATTTTTCTTTGTTCTTAAAATAAACAAATAAAGAATCCTCATCACTGAAACATAATTCCTATTGGTGTTCAGTCTGATAGCAATTAGCATCACAGTTTGAAATATATATTCCATTCCCTGCCCAAAGTAACATAGTGAAAGCATAATATACGCTTATATAATTAATTTACCCGTGCTAACTCAATAAACTTTTGGCACTGAAGCAGAAAACAAATAGCTGAAGAACCATCCTGCAGATGCAAAAAATATCTTGTTAAGACAAAATACTTAGCAAAGAAGAACAAGTGAAAAATAGAACTGTTTTCACTGCAATATAGGAAGAAATATGAAAATATAAGTTTTAATAAAAGTAAAAACTAGTAATTCATCTTTGTTGCACTCAATTAATGTCAGATAAAACAGTGGATAATTAAGATGTACAATTGCTGAGATGTACAATTGCTGGAACAATTTAGGCATGCTGATAGGTGATATCCATTCTTACTAGCAGACAAATAGATCCATAAGAGTTAATTCCACCAGAGGTCCCCTGTCTTTGGTGACAATTTCAAATTTAGTCCCAGACTATCGTTTTTGCCATTTAACATCCCATACTATTATTTTTTGGACACTTTTAGTCCTTCTCGTGACTTTTCCTATTTTTAGTAAGGGCATTTTTGTCTTTTCATATTTTTCTTTTGTTATTTTTCCGATTTCAACCGGTTTAATTGGTTTGGAACTTTAGGTAACCTCTGATTTTAAGTAACCATATTTTTCAACCGATTTTTAGTAAAATTCTATACCAATTAAACCAATTGAAACCGGAAAGAATAACAAAAGAAAAATATGAAGAGATAAAAATGTCCTTACTAAAAATAGGAAAAGTCATGAAAAGGACTAAAAATGTCCAAAAAATAATAGTCTGGGATGTTAAACGGAAGTAACGATAGTCTGGGACTAAATTTGAAATTGCCACCAAAGAAAAGGAACCTCTGGTGGAATTAACTCGATCCATAATGAAGTGGCAGAATTTGGTGGCACTACATTATGTGCCTGCTACCCAAAGAATATGTTCTTTAACAAAAATATTATGAAATTTTAAAAAATAATTATTTAAAAAAAAAAAAACAAAATAGGAAAGGTTTTTGGTAATCTAATGGAGGAAAGAACAAAAAATGTTTAAATAACAGTGAAGATATTTGATGTTAAACTATGAACTGCATAGCTAGAGTAATTACCTGAACAATATGAGGGTACCAATCTCGAAGTTTAGCTAAAGCATCATCTACCTGTCCACTCCTAATTAGCTGTTTCAGAAATAGAAGCAGGTAAGACTGTCATATCTACTAAATAAACAAATGGATCCATAGAAGTTTCAGATAACAATTATGAAACCTCTCGTTTACTTTTCTTTTTTTTACATCTTCCCCTCTTTTTATTCTAACATTAAGACAATAAATTAGGTATTTTTAAACTATAAGAAACCTTAACAACTAAAGCCCAATATTGCCTATAAGCCCAAAATTAAATTTATCCAAATACTATATAAGATTAAATTTTAAATACATAAATACATAAACTTCAGTTGCAAGACAGTAAAAGTGGAAGACAAAATAATTAAAAAGAAGCTATGGCGTCATTAAGACACCGACAAAACAATGCCAAACACAATGGGTAGAACAAAGGAAACATCATTGCCTTCACTTGTATATATGCTACATGAGGCAAAACTGGGTGATTTTAGCAAATTAGGTTAAATTCCATTCAAGATGATTTCTAGATTTTGTTCTGCTTATCCAATTGTGTAAAACTGTCTAATCTGATCATATTAATGCAAAAAATAAAAGGTGCACAAGTAAAGCCCAACAATAAATTATAGAGAAAAACAAGATATGTGAAATCATCTTTCCACTTCTATTCAAAATTTAATCAAGACAAGAATATCTTCACCTGGCGAAGAATCTTCCTATGGTTTAGTGAATACATGTTGTCCTCCTCAGAACCATTTTCTTGCACAAATGAGATAGGTGGAACAGTGCTTTTACTTGCAATATCAAACATTTTTAGAGTGTCTTCGTATCCATAATGTTGCAAGTAGGAACGAACAATTCTGGTAAGTAAAACAAATTTCTAGGTGAAACAAGAAATGCTGGTCTTTTAGCAAAAATGCACAAATTGGATACTAGCCACATTGCTTCTTATGGCTAGTATAAAGTTTCAATCAAACAAAGAAAAAATTAGATAAAGGTGAGAATATTAGAGAATAAATTTATCTGCACTAAGTATCTTTTTAAAATATTCTTATTCTTTTAAAACTAGCTACATAGCTGACAAATTAAATGGCTAGCTAAGAAACTAGATCAAGACAAAAACTTGATATTTAATTGCTCAAAAACGCAGTGAACGCAAATTCACTAGGATATGCTTCCCCATTCATATCTAATACTGTGTTTCTTTACTGCATCCCAAAACTTGATTTTAGTCATTTACTCATTTTAAATACTCATGACTTGCTATCACACTCCATTTTTTATTTTCCAAAACCTTAAGTGAAGATCAGATTTCAAGATTTGTGTACAGGGAGCACAGACTTACCCATAACTGGCATTCTGGGGTATAGATATTTTTTCAATTGTAGTTTGTTGCTTGGCTCTCTCCTGTGCTTCATATGCCTAGGCGAAAGGAAGTAAAACTAAATAAGATTGCTATGCATAGCAAAATAATTTTCCTTCGTGTTCTATGGATGAATATGCACACTTTTGTATGAATAGTTCTAGTTTAAAGATAAAACTGATGATGGTTTTTATATAGTCGTGTTCAGTTTACATTGAGAACAATTTTCACATAGGAAACATAAATTAATAGTTGATATTCAAAGTCTCTACACATTGAAATAGAATGCATGAATCAGGTCATCACAATTCATTGAGAAATTCTTACCTTTCGGATTTTACTCATAAAATGTATATCTATAAAACATGAGAACATAACTAGCTTTTTAAGCTTAAGCAAAAGAATAGTTGAAGAACAAAGTGTATAATTAATTTCAGTGTGTCATATAGAAGATGAAGATTATACCTTAAGATCGAATACAAATGGATCCTTCCCAAAGTTCACAGTAACCCTGAAACAGTGATATCAATAAGGAACTTAAGAAGTCATATCTGTAAACATCAATGAACAATTTTTAGGCTTTCACAGATTACACCTAATAAGCGAGTAGTGATGCAACCAATGCTAGGTGAGGTTAAAGTCCTTTCAGAGTTAATCTACGACAGTGAAGTGAAATAGCATGTCAGGGTGTATCTCAGTGGTCAATGGGCAAGAACAAGATGGATGGTTGGACAGTCTTAACTCTTAATTTCAATTCCTATTCAAGAAAATTTGGGGGAAACTAAAGCTACCTTGCCACCTAGATCAATATAAACAATTTTATAAAGTGATGAACTTAGAAAATGAGGTTGGGTCCATAAAATTTTCAATGAATATCAAAAGTTATTGAGCCAAGATTTTGAACCTAAAACATGACTATGTGCACAAAAAATCTTGTAACTGTCATTCAAGATATAGACCATAAAATTAATCAAATTTAAGAGAGAACAGGTATCAGAAAGCAAAATCAAGAGGCAAAACATTGAAAAAGATGTAATTGTTTAACACATCATTGAATGATAAGAAAGACAATTAGGACTAACAAATTATTCACAGGGGCGTGCTACATACTCCTCATTTTGACTGTGAACAGCAATGGTTGGAAATAATGGCCCTTTAATATCCTTGCAAACTGTTCCTACTACTGCCCCGTTTTTCCTGGCATTGGAAGAAATAGAACACAAATCTGAGAGAAGCACAGAAAGTACATGGCATGGAATGTTACGAATAGCTAGATAATATTCAGAAAATTAAACTACAGAAGCAATGAAATCACGGTTTCCTTAAAAACTAAGTCATTCTAGACCAATCTCCCATTAAAAATGCAAAATATGGTCTTACGTGAAAAAGAGTTCCTGTGCTGCATAATTGATGCCTCCACCAACAGTATCACCTGTTGTATAAGTTGGACCAAATACCTCCCCCTTTCCATGTCCACGATAAAGCAAGCCATCATCACCATGATACCCATAACTGTTTGCTTCCCAGCTGAAAGTGAAGACCAATTGTAATAAACCCAAAAATGGAGACAACAAACCAAATACCAACTACTTGGATGCAATTCTCAACTGCTGATGCATGAAATAAAAAGAGTTCAGTCAAGAATCTTTATGTATATTTAAAAATTAATGCTTTCATTTTATGTTTGCTTCTTTTTGGATGCTACCAAAACCCTTTCCATTTGCATACTTCATGTAAGATATCAATGTTATATCATCTCTATAACAAACTATCACAACGTATTAGCCAACTTATCAAACCTGTGTTTCATTCCATAAGGACTTAACAAACAAGTTTCTAACCCGACTTATCAATGGACGGAGAAAATTGCAAATTAGCCATACATCTAATATTGTGCTTGCTTGACCCATAACTTATTGGAGCATATCTATTCAAAAAAGTATAAGTTATGCCAAACACTAAATAGAAAATAAGGCTTTTATAGCCAAACAAGAGGCAAAAAGTTTGGTTAACCCATATACAGCTTTAGAACAAGGACTGATCCACTGCATATATGCTCTTTATATTTTTCACTGTTAAAAATGTGAACTTTGTTTGAGAAAAACTGCTGAAGTTATGGTCTTGAAGTCCTACTACACATCTTAACTCTTTCTAGATAAATAATAATAAGTTTAGATTATTGTATTTGTAACCCACTTTTCAGCCAAATTTTAGCTCCAATTTACTCTGGCAACTAAATGGAGGTTAAATTTCAACCTATGTGTAACCTGATTACAATTCTGACAGATTCATTGAAGATTTCACATCAATTTCTATTATATTCATCAGCAGTCTAGATAATGCAAGAACTGGAAAGACTAGAGTAGTGAATTAGCAAAATACCCCGGTTGGCGGCACATTTTGAAGCCGGAAGTGGTGAAACCGATGGCAATCTGACCCTTGGCTCCAGCATTCTTGACATAGATCTCGAAATAGTAAACGAGGCGCTTGGAAGGGGCGGGCCGATTGGCCTGGACGACGCCGACATCGTGGCCGTGGAGGTTCACGTTCGGGTACTGAACCGAGAGCTTGTCGGGCCCGACGACGGAGAACCCGCCGGAGCTGTTGAGCGTGTCGAGCTCCGTCGGCGGCTCCTCCCTTTCCTCCTCATCACCCTCCACTACATCCGAGGACTGCACTGCTTCCATGGCTTCCCCGGCGGATTCGAATCTGGCGGCGGCGGCTTTGGAGTTGAGCCGCCAGAGTTCTAGGAAGTAGGAGCCGATCAATTCTTGATTCTGGGAGCAATTAATGTCCTGAGCCATTACAGAGAGCTATGAGAGCATAAAATCAGATTTGAACCCTAGGAAACGAGGCGGAAGAGATGATGATAGCAAGCTTGGGAGACGCAGTGAAGAGCGCTTATCGGAAAAGCAATGGAGGCTTTCTTCGACGAAGGGCTAAAGGTCAGGCCGCAGCCAATTCCAATTAAAATTGTATTTTACATAATAAAATATGCTTACAAAATACAAATTACAATTATTATTAATTGGTGTCAACTAATTTGATAATTAATAATAATAAATATTGTAAAATTAATTTAAAATAAGGGATACAATGTTTAAATTATTCTTTTCTTTTTCTTTTTTCCACAAAAGATTGAATCCCAACCTCAAGGCTCCTTACATCCCGACTCAACATAGCATTAAGAGATTGTAAATCACGATAACTCAGTGAGTCAGTGGCTTAGCAAACATAACCAAATCTCGATGGGCACAAGAGATCCGTTTCAAACATTGGTCTCTTCTCATAAATACGACATATTGAACCAGTGAATTAAACACATGCGGGTAATTCTTTTATTTTGTTTTCTTGTTAGAACACTAAGTGTCATGAGTAGAATCTAACTATATAATGCACCTTTAAATCCGTACCATATTCAAACTAATCTCCGCTCATATCAAACCAATCCAATTAAGAAGCAAAGTGTTGGTCATATTGATTTTTCCATACTATATGAGGTTTTAAACTCCCGGTCTCTCTTAAGAGATGAGAGTGCACAGTCATTCTCACACAACTCAAGATGGTTAGTGTTCAAATTATTATTTGATTTACAAAAAAGTCAAAAATCGCTATTTGAAAATGCATTATGGGCGAAACCCGTCTTGTGATCCTAACCATAAAATAATTACAATGAAGTCAACCGACATAAATTGTTCATAGCTAATCAACTCTAACCAAAAAGGCCAATAAATAAATCCTATAAAAAAAAAATCAAACTTTGAACCTTATTGTTATATAAAATAAATTAACTATCCGACCAACTCAGGTTTAAATTATTCTTAATCTTAAATATCTTGTCCCAAATCTTAAATATCTAATTGTAGACAACTTTAATTTCACTAGTATATTGGTAAACAATATAGACTCAAATCAGATTTATCTAAAATTACGTTGACAAATTTTAGAGTACCAACATCTTGTATACTTGCAAAGTCATGCACTTGCATTCTACACTTTTTGTTAGTGTCAAATATGTAACTCTATTATTATATTTTTTAAATGTTTAAATTCTTACTTAATACTTTTGAGGTTATATTACCTTGTTCTTCAACTTTTGAGGTTATATTACCTTGTTTTTGTTGAAGAAGACGTTAGGCGCTTGTTTTATTAATAAAAAATAATAATTAATTTTGAGGGGGTTATTTGTCCAAAATAAAAAATAAAAAAAAATCAGCCGCCTAGACGCTCGACCACGGTGGAGGTTGATTTCGGCATTTCTCGACGTGGTCAGATGCCACCTAAGCACGATTTTTATAACTATACATTATTCTATTGAAGTCCAATTAGTTTAGACGTCCAAGCAAATCTACTAGGACAATAAGGTTGGTCAAACACGTAGAAGATCTATATAAGAATTAAATCAAGTAAATTACTCGAGAGTCTATTCTTACAAAGAGATAATATATAATAAATAAACATGGGGTCTCAATTTTCAACATAACTATTTGTAGTTGTCACTGTACTTCAAAGAGTCCAAGATGTCATGGCACCTCTCTCTCTCTATCTAGCTTATATAGCTCATATCGCTCTTTTTTCCGGTCTTCTACATAATATTCTTTATCAAGAAAATCCACATTAATAATAGCTAAGAGCGCTTAACCCTATACATCTATTATTCCAATAAAATAGTGATGAAACCCTCTAGAATAGAGTCCAAGATGTCATGGCACCTCTCTCTCTCAAATAGTGTTGTTTCTAGAAAAGACAACGGTTAAAAAACCGTTGTCTATGCGCGGGACTTACAACAACACCGGCTTCAACAACAGAAACTATACCCCTACGACAACGGTTAATAACCGTTGTCTATGTGCATTTTTCTTGTAGTGGTTGAAAAAAATGTGATTTTTCATTTTGGATTTCCACATGATTTTTTTATTTTTTTGTTTTTACTTTGATTTACGGGAAAGTCAGCAACTCAGCATTCAACATCCACTATTTGAAAGTGTGTTCTGAATGTTTTTTTTTCTTACTTTATCTGACAATGAGTGCTTAATTCTAACACGTGTGTGTCTAAAACCCAACAAATACAACTTACAAACATTGCGGCCATTCATAAAGAAAGATTGTCATAATTTATATGGATAGTAACGATAAATTTTCTTCGTCACTCAAAAAATGTAATTTAAAAAAAAAAGATTGGTAAATTAATTAGCGGAACAAAGAATTCCTTGCGTTCAAGATATTCTTTCTGTCAAGAATGATGAAGATGCATTGCAGGGTCTATTTGTTTCTAGCAAGTAATTGATTATGTGGGGTACACCATAAACTTTTGTTGTATAAAATAATGAAAAAAGGCATTTTATCATTTTAAATAGAGTAAATACCCAAAATGGTCCTTCAACTATAGCTAAATTCATAAATTGGTTCTTAACTTTTAATTTCAACCAATTAGGTCCTTAACTTTGTAATTTTAACACAATTTGGTCCTCTGTCTATTTGACCGTTTGTTGACTATGATTTTTGAGGATATATATGTAATTTCATGGTCTATCATCAGTTTTTTAAGGTTCCGGTTGCATTTCTAGACCGCACTGTTACATTCGAATCCACTGCCGAAAGCAATCTACCAAATCCGGTCGCCTTTTTTATCCTCCCTTTGGATTCAATGTAGTTGAGTTCGTACCAGAGCGAAGAAGACGACGTGTTTCCGAACCGGTGCAACGTCATCCTGGAGGCCTCCACATGGAAGCTGAAGGTTCTTCTAGAGATCGTCGATCACGGTCAACAAATGGTCAAATAGATGGAGGACCAAATCGTGTGAAAATTGCAAAGTTAAGGACTTAATTGGTTAAAATTGAAAGTTGAGGACCAATTTGTGAATTTAGCTATAATCGAGGGACCATTTTGGATATTTACTCTTTTAAATAAGTTGTGATAATAAAAAGACAGACTACAATTTTTAGTGCTCATTTTAGGATATTGAACAAATGTTTGTAAATGTTATTGAAAAACTATGAATAATCAAATAGAGAATATTAGTTTTTAACATATTAATATTAAATTTTAATGGTATTAACACCAAATAATAAAGGGGATAAATATATGAAATGCAAGAAAGCAACTGAAGCAAATGATTATTTGATTTTTGTATTTTCTATTTTATTTTTTCTTTAAAAAAAACGGAAACAGTTGTATTAATCAAATAGAGTCAAGTTCTAAAATATAAATAAGAGAAGAAGACGGGACAAGAAAATGATTATTTGAATTGATTCGTGTATTAATTGAGTACAATAATGTGTATTAGACAAT